TGCCCTTCAACCCTGAGACTAGGTATCTTCCCAGACCAGGAAGGAAGCAAGTGAACCCCTACCCAGCCCTGGCCAAGACCCCCCATGGATGAGGTCCGGGAGGCTTCACCAGAGGAGTCTGAAGTGTCCTGCTTCCCCCAGGTCTTCCCACCTGGATGGCTGAGGGGTCTGCTCTACTGCTGCTGCAACACCACAAGGAGGATGAATGGCATTTTGATTTCTCCAGGAGCCAAGGGGCCTGGATCCTTGAGGAAGTTTGTCCCCTCTTTGTGTAGATGAGGTTGGAAAAACTGGTGTACTTCCTATGCCTGTTACATATTCATAGGTGTGGGGGATTAGGATGTGGACATCTTTGGGATGCCATTATTCTGCCTATCCATGAAGCCAGGAACCCCCAAAGTTCAAAGATCCCAGATGTCTCTCTAGAGTCTGGACTGTTAAAACAACTCTCCCCAGGGGAATGGGTACAGGGAGGTGCCTTGCAGATGCCACCCTCCAGGCCCTGCCTCCTTGACACAGAGGCACCAGAGGGACAGGGCTTCTGTGGCCATCACGTCCAGGCCCCTGCCTTACTAAAAGCCTGCGAGGACAAGTCCTCCCTGCCATGGAGCCTGGGAAATGGTCAGCAGACTTTGTGACTACCTCGCCCTCCCACCACCTCTGTCTGGGTTCCCATCTCAGTGTAAACTCCAGGAGATATCCGTCTGGTGCTTTGTTGAGTGTCTGGCACACAATGCGTGCTCAGTAAATGTTGGCTGGATGAAAAAATAAATGGGCCTAGCAACTGGCTGGACTGATGTTTTTCCTTCTAGTTGTGTCCTGTCTTGTGTATAAGGCACTGAGCACAGTGTGGTCCTATCTAAGCCACATGACAAGCTGGGTCAGATTACATCTTTCAGCACCAAGAATAAAAGGAGACAAAGTAAGTGACTAGCTAGAGGTGAGAGAAAGGAGGGTGGGCAGGATTCTGAGCACTCACTTTCTGATCTAGGAAGGAAGCCAAGAATAACATCAGGGTTAGAATTTGGAAGAGTAGAGCCAAGAACACCAAGAGCAAAGTACACAACACAAGCAGCAGGGACAGAAGTCTCGAAGAGCAAACCAGAATTCACAAGAGGCACAGGGACTCCGGCTATGGCAAGAGCCACACAGCATGAATCTTTCAGAGACTGCAGTGACTGTGGGCTTCCTCTCCACATGCTGACCCACCCTCTCAGTCCAAATCCCAACATTAGCCAGAGCCCAGGCATCATCCTAAGCCTTGGCAACAAGCCTTGGTTTCATGTTCACTAAAACAGTTTTTTCCAACATGTAGACGCCAACCTTCCTTCTTCCAAAATTGATCAGTAAATGCTCACTGCTATATTGCTGAAGTGGGCCTGCCGCTCCCATTAGAGTGACACAAATGGACGCCTCAAGGCAGTGTAGGACAGTGGTTACATGCACAAATTCCATTGCCAGACCACCTGCCCCAGCTCCACCACTAGTGACCTTGGGCAGGAGATATCATCTCCCCATGCCTCAGTTTCCTCTTCTGTAAGATGGAGGCTAATCATAGGACCTACCTCAGAAGGTTTTACTGTGAAGACTCAAGGAGTTCTTATAAATTAAGTGACAAACATATGCCTGAAAACATGGCTCATCCTATATAAATGTTTGCCAGTGTCGTTTGAAATAGGATAAGAGTAAAATTTTGAAAAGATGTTTCCAAAATGAATTAAGCAGGATGAGCCAAGCAATGGCCTTGTTACAAGGCAGGGATGTTTTTATGGAAATTAACAGACAAAGGGAGGCACTGTTTTACCTAAGCACATACTTGTTTTGTGTGGTTCACCAACAGCTCTCCAATCTTAGGCATGCGTCTGGCACGTGAGCTGAAATAGAGCTAGACAGAGCCTTCCAAGTACATGTGCAAAGAGAACCCTCCGTTGTTAAAGCCACTTTCACAGAGCCCTCCCTGAGGAGCGAGGAGGCTCTGCTCTGCCTTTTATCAGAGATTATGTTTTTCTCTCTAGAAAAAGGGGCTGACAGAAGTTGCTTGGTGCCACGGGGGAGGTGTGGAAGCTCCACAGACTGTAAAGTTCTGTGCAGAGGGAAGGTCTTTCTATAAGGACGATTGCTCCTCTCCAGCAGCTCAGGAGAAAACTGCAGAATTCTGCCCACCTAAAGTCCTTCAAAGTTCCTCCCTCTCTCAGGCAAATTCCTCCCACAGGTGAGAGTGGGTGGGGCACTTCTCTCAGTCAAAGATGAAGGGCTCCCACCTGGGCTCTTACTGTGCACAATGCTGCATTGTGCACAGTCAAAATAAACAGTGGTAGGCCGATGTCAAAGCCACGATCCGGCATCTGAGACATGGGTTCAAGGCTCAGCTCGGCTGCTTATCTTACTGTGTGACCTCAGACAACACTCTTTCTGCTCTTCTGTTTTCCTCAACTCAAATGGGAAGAATCTACCATTGCCTGGTGTACCTTCACTGCAGTGTTGATGTGGTCCAAATGGGAAGGTACTATTGGCACGTCCAGCACTGTGTGAATCCCAGTTGTTGTTACAACCAGGTTACAATCTGTAAAATCTACCCTTTCCTTGGCTTCCTTTTCATTTTCCCTTTGATTTTGAACAAATATGTATTGAGCTGTGCCTGTGTTTTGTATCAGATTGACTGAAAAGTCCATGGCTCTTCTTCTGGCCGAGGTCATGGCCAAGTCCCCTGCAGGAACTAGAGGGCCCTATTTCTGATTACTCCTTCTCCAGAGCCCCTATGTGTTCCCCCCATCAGACCAGTTCCTCTCCAGCCCCAGGAGTGGTCTCTGCAGCTCCTCTGTGGACTGAGGCCCTATGGCACTTAGCTGAGGTCACCTTCAGGATATTTCCAAAATCCAACCCCATCTCAGCACCTCCTCTGCTGCCATCATGGTCCAAGCCACCACCGCCTCTCACCTGGAAGCCTCCTAACTGGTCTCCATGCTCCCAGCCTTGCCCCTTCAGTCTGTTTTCAGCATAGCAGCCAGAGGCACCTTTGCAAGTGACAATCAGAGCATATTGCTAATCTGCTCAAGCCCTTCCCATGGATCTCTGTCTCATAGAGTAAATGCCACACTCCTTGCAAAAGCCTATGAAGCCCTTCTCCTGGGATTCACCTTGACTGCACATCGGAATCACCCAGGAGCTCTAAACAATACTGAAGCTGAGTGCCCCCCCAGAAACACTTATCTAATTGGTCTGGGGTGTGGCCTTCACATCAGGATTATTTTTTAAGGTTCTCCTGATGTGTAGAATGTGCAGCAAGGTTGAGAACCTTTGCCCTAATGATCTGCTTCCTGTTGCTCTTCTGGCCTCATCTCCATCTACTGCCCCCTTGCACACCTCGTTCCAGCCACAGGGGCCTCCTTCCTCTTCTTCAAACACGACATGGCATGCATGCTTCTGCCTCAGGGCCTTTGTACTTGCCACTTCCTCTGCCTGAAAGGTACTCCCCTCATCCTCCAACAGTACCCCCATGGCTTGCTTCCTCTTCTCCTCCAGGTCTTTGCTCAAATGTCACCTCTTAGTGAGGTCTTCCCTGACCACCCAGGAAAAATTGCAACTCCCCACTCTTGTCCCAGGTGTCTCTCTCCGACTTTATATTTCTCCACAGTACTCACCACCATCTAACATACTACATATTTGACTTCTTTGTTTTGTTTACTCTCTGTCTCCACCCAACTAGAATGCCAGCTCTGTGAAGCAGGGGTTTCTGTATGCTTTGTTCACTGCTTTGTCCCTTGTGTTAGTCCATTCTCATGCTGCTATGAAGAAATACCTCTGACTGGGTCATTTATAAAGGAAAGAGTTTCAATTGACTCACAGTTCCACAGGTCTGGGAGGCCTCAGGAAACTTACAATCATGGTGGAAGGCACCTCTTCACAGGATGGCAGGAGAGAGAATGAGAGCCAGCAGGGAAAATGCCAGATGCTTATAAAACCAACAGATCTCACGAGAACTTACTCACTATCACAGGAACAGTATGGGGGAAACTACCCCCATGATTCAGTTACCTCCTACTTGGTCCCTCCCACAACATGTGGGGATTATGGGAACCACAATCCAAGATGAGATTTGGGTAGAGACACAGCCAAACCGTATCATCCCTGTACCTAGATTATGCTGGCACAGAAGTGCTTAATAAATGACCTGCAAGTGAAAGCATATTCTTCCCTCCCTTTGGACATCCTCAGCTGCTCTTTCATCCTAGCCCAGTCCAGTTCTCTCTGAGCCACAACCAACCATACCCAAGTATACAGTATGTAGCAGGTGTTCAATGAATATCTGTGGAGCTGAACTGGATCTTCTCCCTAAAAGAACACAGTCTGCAAACCCAGCAGCAAGACCTTTCTCTAAGACTCCAGATATAAGCTCACCATGGTTTGCAGCTTCAAAAAATAAAATGTAAAAATGAGGAGAAAGAGGGGGAAACACTGTGGGGGGAGCTCACAAAAATTAATGAGATTTTCTCAGCTGAGGTACGTGCCCATATTTTTAATAATTGGGAGTAATAAGAATTCTCACTGAACCTTAAAGGAACATCCTTCTGTAACAAAGAGAGAAGTCAAGACAGACTTGTCTGTTAGATGTAACAACTTGTTAGCCCCGCAAGACGGATGTACTTTAAAAACTAATTTACAGAAAAAAGATTATTCATAAAAATGCAACTAATTGGGTTAAAATGACATATTAACAGGAATGTGAGATGACTGTAGTGCCCTTAAGGAGTAAATTAAGTTGTTAATCCTCAAAATCTCTACTGGAAGAAAGCTTTGCCCCTACTCAGCTAATGGAGAAACTGAGGCTGAGGGAAGAGGAGAGTGACTTGCCTAATGCAAGCCAAGGGGACAGGCCCTGGCTGAAGCAGGAAAGGGACCCAGGAATCCAGGCGCCCAGTCCTGGCTCTGTTCCTAGCACTCTGGGGACCCCATCTCCCCACAGGCAGGTCAACAAGGTCCCGGTCACTGACTCTGCTCACCCACTGGGTCTGAGGTCAGGCAGGGGTCGGTCCAGGGGCAGGCGGTCGCTGAGGTAGGCATTGTAGCCGTAGTACTGGAACTGCTTCAGGGCCACGCGCCGGCCTTCGGGGCTGAGCTCCTGGCCCCAGTGTGCAAACAGAGAGGAGTCTGTGAAGGGCTCGGCCTCTGCCTCCTCAGGCTTGGCAGGAGCCTCTGGAGAAAGAAGGAACAGGACACAGTGGGTCAGAGTGCACCCCTGCATGTGCCATGACAATCCCTTTCCCTTCCTCACAAACAGCCTTTGGTAAAACAATCTTAGCCCCTTTTTTCAGGGGTCGGGGCTGACTTGGGTTTTCACGCTTTCCAAAGACCCATTCATCCATGAATCCATGCATTCATCTAACCCACAACCACCAGGCACAGGAGATCGAGAAATACACCTGACAAGGTCTGCTGAGAAGCTAATGGATGTGACCCTGATGCCCCATGGCTTCAAGTCAGAACCCCCTTTTTCCCCAGTCTGCCTCCCTGCCAGAGATGCTGGCCCCAGCCCTCAAACTGGGCATCTGCTTCACTGTCCCTAGCTTATACCCCCATTTCCTGCAATTCCTGAGCCCACCCCACATTGAGGCACCCAAGCTGGGAGTCTACTCCTCCACCCAGTTCTTGCCAGCCCTTCTCCCTCTCTCTTCACTGTCTGGTCCTACAGTGAGTTGCCTGGTGCACCACGTGACATTCGCCTGACTGTCAGCACCCCAGCCAGACTGCCTCCTGCTGCTTCTAGACACTGCCCACCAGAATAGCGGATCCATGACACAGGTGACAGTCAAGCCACACCCAGCCTGCCCTACGCTCTGGGCCCTGCTCATGGGAGCCCTGGTGGACTTGGTGGAGGCAGCTCAAGGCCAGCGCGTGGTTTCCCAGGAACGTCCCAGAAAAATGGAGGGGCATCACTAACGGTAAGAGCAGAGACTTTGAAGTCACACCGTCATGGAATCCAGTCACTGCTCCACCACATACTGGCTACGTGACCATAGCACAGTCAACCTCCCAAGGCCCAAATTCTCCCACCTAGAATTCGGAGATGATAATACCCAATCACCCTCCAGAGATTGTGAGGATTCCATTAAATAAAGTGTATAAAGCATTTAGATCAGTTTATGTCTCAGAACAAGTGCACAGCCAATGGCAGTTAGGGTTATTATAGCAAGGGAGGGTTATTGAAATCTCTCTTTTATGGGAGCTAAAAGAGATCTTGCCAGGACATAGACTGATAGTCCAGGACTTTGGAATTAGTTCCCTGGGACAGGTCATCAGGTGAATCATTTGAGGTCAGAAATCAGAGAAATTGGACAGAGATGGCAAGCCCACTGGACAGGGCCTTCTATGCTCACAAATTCATGAGGGAAGTAAGAGATGGAGCCAGGAGCCTGGAATGAGACAGCGACCAGAAAAAACAGAAGCAGGTCAGGGACAGGAGAGACAGGCAGGAGAGGCAGGCTTGGGACACCTGCCCACATCCCGTCGTTGGCCTGTATGGAGCCAATGGGTGCATGGCGCACCTAGGTACAGGCTGGAGATGGGCAAGGGGTTAGCATTCTGAGGTCTTCCAGGCTGGAGAGCTTGGGGCTATCAACTGCCATCTCCACTCGTGATGCTCTCCTGAAAACCCATCTGGAAGAGAGGAGACTGCCTGGGAACAAAAGGGAGAGCCTTCCAAAACACAGGCTCCTCCTACCATGGAAGGGGTGCTCCAGTGGCAGGAAGCCTCCATCATCGGAAGCAGGCAGATGCCATCAAGAGTAGAAGGGGACTTAGCAAGCCCATAATCCTGAAAGCAGAGATGCCAGAAATCTCAGTGTGCGAGATGCAAAAAGATCTGTAAACGAACTCCCAGGTGCTGAACTCACTGGGTGCACATGCATAAGGTACCTCTCCAGGCCACGTCCTCTAAATGGGACACCCCTGTAACTCCTGGGATAACCATCAGAGCTAACACTTGCCGAGTGCTCACTCCTACCGTGAGCCAGAATTTTCTCTTATCAACTCATCTCACCCTATAGGGTAGGAATTGTTGTCATCTTCATTTTATATATAAAGAAAGTGAGGCACAGAGAGAATAAAAATCTTGCCCAGGTTCACACAGAAGGAAGTGCAGTAGCTGGATTTCAATCCTGGGAAGACTCTCCCCAGGCAGTGGTCCCCCAGCTATGCTATACAGCCTCTATATGGCAATGGGCTGCTAACGTATGTGAAGTACAAAGACAAACATGGCATACCATCTCGGTGACTGATTTTCCTTAAAAACGTAAAAGTAAAGTCAGAAAATTAAACAGATTAGGATATATTGAAGAATAAAATGCAAACTATGCAAACACCTCTAAGACACAGCATTGTCAGGATTGCAGCGGCCTGCACAAAGCTCCATCCCCGAACTTGCTCATTCTTCTCCCCTACTAGGCATGCTTGAAGGGTAGCACAAGCATTCATGATCTTGAAGGTCCTTGTTATCTCTAAAAAGATGTATGACTCATTCGTTTGGAATGGGGGGTAGTAAAAATCTAAATCAGTGAACCAACTGAATCATATAATATTTAAAAGAAATGTAGTTTTATTGCTCTCGAATACCTAAATGGATATTACCAAGTAAAATGAGATCAGTTAATGGAAAATTATGATCCAAAATTAGGTCTGCATTGCATAATAATATGTTATAAACATATTAAAGTCCTGGTGACACCACATGCTCCTACCTTGTCACTCAGTATGGGCAAGAATGATGACAAACTCAAAGCCAGTGAGTCCTGAAAGATGAGGTGGCGGGCCTACAACAGGAAAGATGTAATATTTGTTGGATTTCTGCCAAGAGTCAAGCACCACGATAGGTTATTTCCTTATCGAATGTTGCCTCTCTTCCTCCTCACTGGTGCAGCTCCACAGAGCAGGACCACATCTGACTTGATCCCTGCTGGACTGCCAGCTCCTAGCACAGTAACTGCTTCTTAAAAGGGACTCAATCAATCATTTCAAAATACATCAGTTAATAAGTAACCCATAGTGATTAGACATGATGAAACCAAAAGTGAAAAGGTTAAATGTCTAATCCAAGGCCACCCAGTGTGTCAGTGACATCGAATAAAGGCCTGGCTCCTCCAAACTCCACATTCTTTTCTCTACACCAGGAGTGGCAAACCATGGGCCAAGGGCCACCACTTGTTTTTGTAAATAAAGTTTTATTAGAATACAGTCACATCCACTTGTTAACATATTCTCTTTGGAGCTGAAGAGCAGAGTTGAGTATGTATGACAGAGATGATATAACCTGAGAATCTGAAAACACTATCTGATTCTTTAAAAAAAAAAAAAAAAAGTGTGCCACCTCTGAACCTTTCCCCAGCCCTGTCTGCCCTGTACCTTAGAGTTGACTCTCCTCAGGTTAGGAGGCCTTACCTCTCTGAACTCTATTCAATTTTTCTTTACTTCCAAAGAATTGGTTAAGAACACTGGCTGTGGAGTCAGAATCCTAGTGTTTATCCTCCAGCTCTACCATTTGCCAGTTTGGTCCACCTCACCGAGCCTCAGTTTCATCTTCTGGAAAATGGGGTTGAAAATAGCAGTGCCTTCCTCACGGAACATTTGTGAGGATAAATGAGATGGCCAGGTAAGGAGCCTGGCACAGTGCCTGGCACATAGTAAGCTCTCCATAAACATTGCTGAAGCCCCCACGAAGCCCACAGCCCTATCGGACCGCTGGAGTTCAGATGGGAAGGTGACCTTGCCAAGGTCTCCAGCTCTGGAAGATGCTGATGCCATCCAGCCCCACATGAAGGCTCTCCATGTCCACAGACAAGTGGTCTATGCTTAACCAGACCTAGACTCCACTCCTGTCTCCAGTGAGAAAGCAGGCCTATATGGTCATCCAGCAAAGGGGATCATCTTTGACATAAGGGGGATAGGCAAAGAGGCCTCGGAGAAGTGTCTGGGCTGGGTCCTCCACAGGGGTCCTGGGGTGTCTGGCACATCTGGTGATACTCAGACCCTCTGATGTCTGACATCTAGGGATGAGGCACCTTCCAGGAGTGGACTCCGGTGGAAGCCCCTGCAAAGATTCAGACCTACCTGGGTATGTCTGACCAACTGATGAGGCGACTTAAGAGAAGCACATCTCCAGGGACTGAGGACTCCCCAGGAGGGCCCATTCAAGGCAGAGATTGAGCAGGGCACAATGAACTCTGTGAGCTGCAAAGCCAGAGCGTGTGGAAGAGAGTATTTGGAGGATTCCGAGCACAACAGAGAGGCTGTTACTCACCCCCTGCCCTCACCCAGCCCTGAGTGCTTGTCTGGGCCCCGAGGAGAAATAGGATGAAAGGGAAAGTGAAGGGGCTGCTTCACCAGACAGCCACGCTTGGGGCCCAAGCAGTGCTTGAGTCAGGGAAGGTGGAAGGAAAGGAATGATGTGATTAGGGTAGGTTGGGGAGCCCCCAGTGGGGCCTGAGGAGACCCCCGGGCCAGGGGAAACATTACCATGCCCTGTCCTTCTCGATCAGAACCCTCCAAGGGCCTCCACCGCCTTCTTGTTAAACGCCTGCAAGGCCCAGCACTCACATCCCATCTCTGCCCCTGGGTTTCTCCTTTCCAGCCACACCGGCCACTCATCAGACTCACCAGGCACATCTCACTTGGGTGCCTCAGCTCCAGCATTTGCCTGCACATCCTTCTGGCCAGTTCCCTCAAGTCTATGTCTTTACTCAAAAGTCGCTTTCTCAGCAAGCCCTATCCTGAACATCCAGCCCTCTTCCCAGTTTTTACATATATAGTCTGTGATACAGTTTGGCTGTGTCCCCACCCAAATCTCATGTTGAATTGTAGCTCCCATAATTCCTATATGTTGTGGGACGGACCTGGCGGAGGTAATTGAATCATGGAGGTAGGTCTTTCCCATGCTGTTCTCATGATAGTGAATAAGCCTCAAGAGATCTGATGGTTTTATAAAGGGGAGCTTCCCTGCACACACTCTCTTCCCTGTCGCCATGTAAGACATGCTTTTGCTCCTCCTTCACCTTCCACCATGGTTGTGAGGCCTCCCCAGCTTTGTGGAACTGTGAGTTCATTAAGCCTCCTTTTCTTTATAAATTACCCAGTCTCACTTATGTCTTTTTCAGCAGCATGAGAACAGACTAATACAGTCTCCATTCATTTTGCTTGTTGTTTGTTTCCCTGACCGGAACATGGCTCTGTGAGGTCAGGGATTTGCTTTATTCTCTGTTGAGTCCCTCAGACTCCGAACAGCATCTGGCACCTAGTAGGTGCTCAACCAATACCAGTAAAATGAACGAATAGGGCATTAGCAGTGGGTCGTGGTGGGAGTCAGACAGCCCCCTGCCTACTAGAGATTCCCCAAAACTTTCAGAGGGAGTGGAAAGGGGACTGCAGTCCTGTGCCAGCAGGTAGGAGCACAAAGCCAGTGAAGGTATGGCCAGGGCAAATTCCAGCTGTGTGTGGTTAATTCCTCCCCAGTTCACTTAAGCAAATGATTGTGCACAGTTACACAGACTGACAGGGTACGCTTAAGAGCTTTTCAGGTAGTTCCACAAAATATGGTCAGTGGTAAGCAATTTCCACTGCTCTCCCAGGACTCCTCTGTAAATTTCTTATACTGGAGAATTACTGGGCTTCTCTCCCAAGCATCCAGAATAGGACTGTGCACGGAGTAATTACCCCGAAATATAGGGAGAAGGAAGATAAAGAGGGAGGCAGGGAGAGAAGGAGGCTGTGTCTTCTTCTTGCCCCTCTCTGTCTCTCTTTCAAATCTCACCAAGAAAGGCTCAGAATCAAAAAGACTCCACTAAAGGGTCCAAAAATCCCTCCTCCCAGAAACCCAGGCACAAAGGGCAATGAGGTGGAAAGACCCAGAGACTCTAGAAAACTGACCTAAGATGCCCTCAGGAAGTGTCCAGCTCAAACCACAGAGCACCAGAGAGCCGGGGAATCAGGCCAGGAGTTCTCATCCTTCCTTGAAACCCAGCCCGCGGTGTCCCCAGAGCTCTGGCAGACATGTTGATACCTGTCTTCCGTCCTGAGTCTCCTCAGTCTCCAAGGTGCTTGTTACAGAAATCCTCACCATCAAGCCCTGAGGGGAGGATTCCCTCCAGAGGACACTAATCACTCTACCCTTGAAGAGAAAGGTACAGTTGATGGGTCTGTGCAAAGCATGACATTTCTGACATTAACAGGCAAACAGGCTGACTCCTTCCTCATTGTTGACATTGAAATTCTCCCTGAGGGACCCAGCGAGCAGTCATTCCTGCTCATCCCCAGGGTGCAGGGAGCTGCAGCTTGGCCAGCCCTATTCAGAGAGGCTCCATGATGGCTGTGCTTTCCTTGTTTGCGGGGCCTTGGAACTCACTGTCAGCTTTGCTCACAAAGGGTGTTAGCCCCTTTTATCAGCTAAGCAATGAACATTTAAGCAAGTTTATTCTATGCCAAGCTTATTGCTTGGGTATTGAAATATTAAGATTACTCAGATGTGTTCCTATCCTCATATAGCATGCAACTTAGTGGGAAAAGCAAACACATAGAGAATGTAATCAATGCTCTGATCAAGGGTGTATAAGATGCCATTGGGTATCTGTAGATGAGGGGAAATGGGGCAGAGGGAAGGCTTCCTAAAGGAAAGGATGCTTGAAGTGAGGCGAAAGCGGGCAGAGGGAAGGCTTCCTAAAGGAAAGGATGCTTGAATTGAAGAATAAGTGTGATCCTCAAGCTCACTCCAGGGCAGTATACCCCAAAGTAGAGGCCAACAAGAACCAGGATGCAGAAGGAGGAAAGAGCAGTCTGTGGGGCTCAAGGCTGCTGGACAGGTGGCTGTACAGATCTGAAACCAAGAAGCCAGACCCAGAGCATCCAGAGCCTCAGCAGGCTGAGGGTAGCCCATGGAGGGGGGCAGGAAGAACCACAGTGAAGACTGCAAGACTGAAAGCCTTGGGATTAGCGTTATTATTTGGAAATAGTTTCTGAACCTACAAGCAAGCGTCCCAAAGTCCAGCATGGTAAGCATCACAAAAAGGTACTCTCTAAAGTGGCACTGGGTGCAGTGACTCATGCCTGTAAACCTGGCACTTTGGGAGGCCAAGGTGGGCATATTGCTTGAGCCCAGGAGTTTAAGATCAGCCTGGGTAACATGCAGAAACCCCATCTCTACTAAAGATACAAAAATTAGCCGAGCATGGTGGTGTACGCCTGTAGCCCCAGCTACTCAGGAGGTTGAGGCAGGAGGATCACTTGAGCCCAGGAGGTCGAGGCTGCAGTGAGCTTTGTCGCTGCACTCCAGCCTAACAGAGCAAGACCCTGTCTCAAACAACGCAAACAAACCACAGAATGGCAAGTGCATTATTTGGGGTCCAACTGGAGGCTGATCTTGGGTGTCTGCTCTAAAAGCTTTATCCCTGGAGCTGATTCCCTAGTCCAGTGTACCCCAATTCCACTGCACTGCCCCTACCTCTCCTAGAATGTATGTTTAATCAATGCCATCATAGATGAGAGAAAACTGCAGCTGGAGATGTTAAGGGGCTTATCCTGAGCTCACAGCCCTGACCACAGCCCTACCTGCAAATTAATGCACCAAGATGTGTTGTCTGACTTGAGGACTGGAGAAACTTTAGTCTCCAGGAGGCTATTCACTTGGTCTGTGCTGGTTCATACTAGTTGTTAAACTATTGAAATACCTTCCTAGCGGTAGCAAATAGCTGCTGCCTAGAATACCTCTGGGGCCCGCCTGCAACCCCAGGTGCTCTGGCCCTTTTCTTGGAACGCTCCAGTTCTTTTCACCAATCGGCAACTCAAAGACCCAGCCAAGAGCCCTAGGACCCTGCTCTAGGCGGTGTTGAGCATTCCTGTCAATTGGTTAGTACTGTCCCTTGCCAGTTGTGTGCCAAGTATATTTTGACTACCACTTGCTTGAGTCCTTCCTAGGTGGGCCCCTGTGAATGAGAGTGATGGGTTTCTGGAGACCCACTCACTCAGGTCATTTGCTTCCCCCACGGTCATGCCCAGTCCTTATTGTGCATGACCCGTTCTTCATAAAGTTCTACCAACGATCACATAGGGCACCTGGGAAATGCCATAATGTGGTCTCAGTGATATGCCCACAGTGCCTGACACACAGCCCATTGATAAGAGTGGAGCTTACAGATACATCCTGGCAGGTCCATGCTAATTCACGGAGACAGGTGGGAAGTGGGGCAGGAAAGAGCTTGCAAAGCTTTGAGCAATGAATGCAACAAAAGCCACAGCTCTGAGTGTTGTGCATGGGGTAATTGGCCAAGCAAGAGGAGCACATCTGGAGGCCCTGCCAAGGCTTTTGAGGTTCCTGAAGCCACTGATGCTGAAAGTAGGAATTCCTGCATGAAGAGTTCTGCTTCAGCGGGCAGCCCAAACAAAGTGCTGGCCCCACTGGCTCGTGCTCCAAGACTGTAGTGGTACTGAGATTGCACAATGGAATGGAGAGGAAATGGGCTTCAGAGTGAAAGTGGTATTGTAATGCTGCCCAGCCCTGTCTAGGCTGGACTGCCTCACCTTCTAGGACCAGATCCCTGGAGATCCGCTTCTGCTGAAGCTGAGTCATTTTGCCAGCTCTTGCCATTGCTGGAGATAGAAATTCTGAGGAGCCGGTGGCTTTTTGGAGGAACTGCAGGAGAGGCTGTAGCCCAGACCTCTTCCTAGGCAAGAATCTAGTACTCATATCTGCTCCTTAGATTGGAGAACAAGGGAATCGGAGGAGTCAAATGGCATGGTTGCTGCTGGAGGTCAAAGTGGTTTAGGGCTCCCACCTCAAGGTTGGGCCACAGGAATGGTCAAGTCCTGCCGAGGGGTCAGACAGAGCCACCCAGGACGCAGCTCACCTGGCTGAGGACCCCTGGCCTGCTGCCCAAGCTGGTCTGTGCACTCTCTGGAAGCAGCAGCTCTGCTTCTTGTCCCTCGGTTGGAGCACCTTTAGGGAGGTGTTCCCAGGAAACCACTGGAGCCTTCTTGTTTCTTGTGGTTTACTCTGTTTACTGTGTGTCCCTCTTTCAGGGAGAGGGGATTGCTGAGAAGGCTTTGAGGGGGGGTGGGGAGGGGGGGCTAGCTTTTGCCCTGCAGCCAGTTCTGTAGCCACTGCTATTTCTGTTTCCGCCCTCAGGCCATGCTCATAGCAAAGCTCTGGTTGTTTGGTGATGAGATCTAGAACCCAGTGAAAGGAGGCAGGAGAAACTAGGACAGGCAGGTTGGGGTGCCAGGTATCTGCCTGCCGTGGGCCCCGAGACCCTCTGTGTCTGAAGTGCACTTGGGGTGCAGACCCAGATGGTCCTGTCTCCTGGTCCTCCTCCCAGAGTGTACTGGGGACCCCTTCTCTCCCCACTTCTGGGTCTGCTATTCCCTCCCTTTAGGAAAGACCCAGAGTCCCTTCAAGCCTTCGCTTTCTTCACTTGCGAGATGAAAACAGACTGTCAGGCTGCTATAAACAGTCACTGTGAAGTCGGCTTTGGGAAAGATGAAGGCTAAGCATCAAATAATGCAGCAAGCATTGCTGAATATCCCAGATAAGAATTCATAAAGAATGTTTTCCTTTTTTTCCACTCCTTACTTTAAAAACAGCTTTATTGAGGTATAATTTATATACCATAAAACTCACCCATTTTAAATGTACAATTCAATGATTTTTCAAAAAACTTTTCTTCCACTCCTGCAGTACCTTGTTGCATGCTTTATTTTGGGTTAAAAAGAAGAGGGCTAATTGAATGTTCAGAAATGTACATTTCTCATGTCGGCTTTCAGTAAACTCCTGCCCGCTGACTTCCAATGGTGAGAAGTCACCATTATTCCCACTAAAGAGCTTGATGCTTGGGCCTTGCCCGAGAAGCCCAGACCATGCTTGCAGAGCATTAAAGCCCAGTTCACCCGAGCACTGCTAATGAGGGCAGGACTCACACCGCCACACAGAGGGGTCACATCACAAACAGCCGGAACAGCAGCGTTCAGCCTCGGCTGCCTTCAGCTTGCCATCTGCTGTGTCGCCTTCAGAGCCGGCGGACCTGCCCTCCCCCGTCTTCCAAACACTCAGCCTTGAGATCCAAATCGCAGCCTTTGTGCCTGGTCCCAGCCAAAGCCAGGCACTGAGACCTGTGGAAAGCCGGCTGGTCTGGGAGACAGGAAGCCTCAGCCTACCCTCATCTCCAACACTGGGCAAATCCCCAGCTCCCTGGGCCCTGTTTCTCTTCTGTAAGGTGGAGCCAGTGTTTGTGTTTTACTTGAGAGAGAAGGGGCACTTTGGCATATCATAGCGGTACTCTTCTTAGATCCAGCAAAGCAAGATGTTATGCCTCTGCTTGTGATTAGGCTCCCAAAGGACAATTTTCAGATTTTTGAAAGCATCCTTTAATATGTCAAGCGGCCGAATAATGGTAAGTAAATGCACTATTCTGTTGAGTGGAGGGCTTCCCTTCTTCTCTGTTTCTAGAGTTGCATTCAAACATGAGCCAAAGGTCTTTTGCCAATGGCCCCCACAATTAGGTTTCTCTCCCTGGAATCCTCAGAGCTGCCAAAAGAACAAAGTGGAATCTGACAGCAAAGAGCTTGGAACTAATCAGGAGGAAGGAGCCCTGACAGTCTCAGGTCCAACACTATTAAAATCCTCTGCACGGGGACGTTATTCAGCATGGCAAAGGCAAATCCAGGATGGCTTCCTCTGGCACCTGAACAGTGTTGCAGGGAAGAAGAGAGGCTTCTTCAGGATGCCTCAGCCCAAAGTAGGGTGGGGTCTGCCATCCAGAGAGATGCCCCACTGCAAGGTCGAGTGTAGACTCCATTAGGGGCTGAGCCCACCAGACTGAGGAGCTCTGGAGGCAGCTCTGCCCTAGATTGGCTATGTGACCCTCATCAAGCTCTTAAACCTCTCTGAAGCTCAGCTTGCTCATGTGTTGAATGGGGATAATAATTTCTATGTCTAAGCTTGTTGCAAAGATTAAGTGAGATGATGGACACCAGGAAAGTGCGTAGCAAACCATCAGATATGTGGTAAAGTGTATTAATAGTTTCCTATGGCACTGTAGCAAACAACCACAAACTTAGTAGCTTGACAATGCAAATGTACTATCTTACAGTTGTGAAAGTAAGAAGTCTGATGGGGTCTCATCGTGCTAAAATCGAGGTGTTGGGAGGACCATGCTCCTTTCTGGAAGCTCTGGGGGAGAAATTCTGTTTCCATGCCCTTCCCAGTTTCCAGAGGCTACCTGCATCCCTTGGCTCATGGCCCCTTCCTCCATCTTCAAAGTCCACCACAGTGGGCCAAGTCCATCCCACATTGCAGCACTCTGATCTTCTCTTCAGCCCCCTCTGCCACATTCAAGGACCCCTATGATTGCATTAGGCCCACCTGGGCAATCCAGGCTACTCTCCGTCTTTAAAAGTCAGCTGAATTCACAACCTTAATTCCATATGCAACCTTAGTTCCCTTTTGCCATGTAAGGTAACATATTCACAGGTTCCAGGGATTAGGATGTGTATATCTTTGGGGAACCATTATTCTGCTGCCATAGCAAGAGTCCAATCATCGTGTGGCTTTTCCCATCTATTAAAAAGAGATTCTAATACTTCATTCACAGGGTTATAGTGAGGCAAAATACCAATAGCTAACATTTGTAAAAAGCCTACCATGTCCAACACTACTCTGAGCAAAATGGTTCTGTCCACCCCAACACTCACTGAGTGAGAACATACCCTGTACAATCTGGACGGGGCTGTCATCCAGGTTCTCCAAAGGTGCAGCGCACCTGAGGGCTGCAGGTGGCCATGAGCTGTGGAGGGCCCTTATCTCTGCCTACTCCTCCCTGACTTTGAAGGCCTTTTGGCCTTTCCTCCCTCATGCACTCACTAATGAGGAAGAAAGGAGAGCCCTAGATGGTGCAAGGCAGGGACTGAGGCAGTCGCCCTCCTGCTTCCCTGTTTCTTCCTGATCCACACAGACGGAACCATTACAGTGTCCAACTGGCTTCCTGCTACTGTTCTTTGGACTTAGGTGTTGGTATCTGGCTACTCTAAGTGTGGCTTTCAAAACTCCCTAAAGTGACAGTTCTATCAGTAGTTTGTTGTTGCTTTCATTCGGGGAGGGGGATACAGAACTCTCTGAGAAAAAATGTTAAAATTGTTTTTCTTTATAAACTACCCAGTCTCAAGTATTCTTTTATAGCAATGCAAAACGGATTAAGACAGCCAGGGATAGAGGAATTTGGCCGTGCACCCTGGGAGCTACTGGCAAGAGTTAGGGAAGGCAACTCCAGCTACGTGGGCTAGACTCAGGAAGGGTGGTGGGTGCCAGCAAAAGACCAGAGTCAGTCCAGTCTGGGCTGACATGGCAGGCAAAGGACAGGAAGACATCTGACTCTGCAAGCTTAGTCCAGATATTACAGGATGATCTCTCTCAGTCAGAAAAATCCTACTCCACTCCTGACGGGCTGGCGCTGCTGTGTCTTTCTTCCCCTGCAAGGGGGACTTCTGGGCCTGGGTGTGTCTGAGTGCGCAGCTGGGATGACTGGTGCAGGTAGGAGCAGCAGGGCTCGGCGTGTGCACACACACTCACAGAAGTGGAAATAGCCTTGATTAGAAACTATGCAGAATGAAAGCTGCTATTAAAGGGTCAAGTTTTTACACTCAATGCCAACTATATAAAGTACATGTAAAAAAACTCATTTTAGACAGTGACAAATGTCTGTATCTTAGGAACCAGAATTTATATGTGCCATTACTTGCTACTTTAAAACAATCCTTTAAAGCTAGAATTCTGCCTAGGAGAGATATAATAAACTCTGAAACACATACCATTATCCCCCTCCCCCACCTGCCACCGAGCTGACAGCCTGGAGCTGACACCCGGACTTCTAAATATACACTACACTGTTCACACATAAAACAGTGTTCCCAGTGTTTCCACACATCAATCTACTGGAATGAACAAGCCAGACCAACCCTGCTAATGTTAAAGAGGCATGCTCCCCTGACACAGACACGCAGATGGGAACAGCTGGGCTGGACAGAGAGAAATCAGTGTGGCCCTTTGCCAGTAGGACAGCCTGTAGCCCAGAACAATGCCAGACGCCTGCTGCAGCCGTGACTCCTTTCAAGGCCCTGCTGCAAGAGTCCTTGCTTTGGGAAACCTGCAGCCTGAATGAAGCTGCAAAAATCGCGTGTGCCTTTCTTGTGTAATATTACTCTATCACGTGCTCCCCTGTCTCAAACAGCCTCTCCCAGGAAGCCTGCCTGTTTCCAGTTTCTTTCTTCTGGTCTTAATGGGAAGCGGGGTGCTGTAGGAATAGCAGCAAGCATCAGACTTCACCCAGAGGGCAGTTAGATTACAGATCATGGGGTCCCACCCCAGAGTTTCTCATTCAGCAGTCTGAGGGGAGGTCTGAGACTGTGCATTTCTAGCAAGTTATGAGAGGATGCTAAGTCTGCTGGTCCACGGTCCCCACTCTGAGAATCACAGCTGTAGAGGAGGGGCTTCCTGGTCTTGGCTCTCAGTACATTCAGTGTGTGGCTGTGGCAAAGAAGTCTTTCCTTTTTTTTTTTTTTTTTTTTGCGATGGAGTCTTGC